TGTTATGCAAAGTGGTGACAGTCAAAGGTTGCAAAATGGTTTGGATTCTTTCCAGAAGTTTAGTATTTTCTTTGGGTTCAAAATTATGAATACTACCTAAGGAGCCATGCTTTACAGAGAGTGAAGCAGGAAAGGTGGGAAGAATATAGGACAGAAGAGAAGTTGTGTTCTGAAATTGACTCTGGAATAAACAATATGTTTTCACTAAGATTGGCAGCATCATTTATTCTTTTTCTTCTTTTCATTTTTCATGAGTAGATACTACTTATTTAGTTTTAAAATATATATATTACATATATACTCTATAATCGTTTTGCAATATGGACAAAGATAACTGGATATAAAGTGTCTTCTTTCATTAAGTATATAAATATTCACTGGAAATAAAAGCACATAGTATTTATTAATAACATTATTGCAATATATTCACAAAATACTCAGACTTGGACTTATCTCTTATTTATATTTTATTTTGACAATTACTAAACTTTTTTTCATTTCATGAAGTAAGTTTTATTAAAAAAAATTTCAGTAAAAGGCTCTCCAAATACACCCTTGACTAGAGCAATGATTTTAAAATTAGGAACATTGATTTAGATTTTGTTTGGAACTCTTTTTTGTAGTAATTTTAAGGAGGTCTCATACCAAAATTGCACTTTTATGGTTTGGATAAAGTAAATCTCTGCTTTACAGGATGAAGAAATGAACATTGGTATGTACATGGCTAGAAGGTGGTGGATTTCCCATATGCTGAAAATGGTACACCCGGTTTGCCCGGCAGACAACCCACACCGTCATTCTCTCCACTTTCTACACACCCATAACTTTATTAATGATATCCTTCCTTGTAGTAGATAGTGAAATCTTTTCTCACAGTAGAGGGAGATTTCCCCATGTAATGCACTGAGAATCAGAAGCAACTGCTTTGCAACCTCTATGCAAATAATGGTCCTTTTCATTGGGTTTGTCCTAAAAATCTTGTGTATGTCTGTGTTTGTGTATACGTACATCTTTCTGTCTTTCTTACCATTTCACATTTAGACACTTACATGACTTTTATGAAATTGAGAGGGTATATTAGGGAAATCTATCTCTATATTGATCTAACTCTTAATCTGGATATTGTCTAATGTGCAAAATTCACTCTGGAGATCTGTGGGAGAATCTCAAAAAATAAACAATCACACTTTCAGTCAGATGCAACTTAGTTACAATCAGAAGCTAGTAAAAATAGTACTAAGTATTATAATTCCATTGAAAGAGAAAATAATCCATAATTCTAAACATGAGCCCTAGATAGACTGTTACAAGGCCAGGTACTTCAAATTTTGGGTGCTGATTGGGAATCTCGAGAATTCTCCTATGGGCAAGTCAACTTAGTGAGATCAAAAGTGACATGTATTTATTTACCAGAGAGATGTTATTCAAATATATAATAATTATGATTTCCTTTACCAAATCAGATAGACCAGATCATATATGTGTGTGTATAAATGTAAATTTAATTCACCTTGTAAAAGAAGTGTTCTGCAAAATTCCCCTCCTACTCAACAAATTTAAACATTTGTATTAATTAATTAGTGTTTTTTAATTTCTTATATTAATATTTTGGCTATTAATATTAGATTTGGACTTCCAAATTATAATGGGTTAATAAAGTCTTAGAAAGCATTTGAGCTCCAGATGTACTGGTATGATTTATATTCTGCATTTTAATTAATAAAGATATTCTTTATGCAAGCACATACTTAACTGTGCTCTTCAAATACTAAATGACCATTTTAGATTCATGTTTTGAAGAGAGAATTACGGCAAGCCACAAAGAAACTTGAAGGAAGCAGTAATGGACAAACAAAGAGAGGCAGATTCTGGCGTTGCTTTTCATAAAGAATAATACAAATAACCACCAATCTGAAACTGTTTATCATATGGATGTAAAGGAGCAGTAGATTAAGAGTATAAAATTCATAGTCTTAATCAAGTGAGTAAGGACAATTTTTTTTTTTAGACTTGGCTGAAACCTTACAGATAAAGAAGTGCGTACCAGGTTGTCTTTTTTGAAAGGGCTGGGTGGAAATACCGTAAGAAGAAAATACAAAGTAATGATTCATTAAGTTGACCATACCCTAAATACCAAATGATGGATTGGCTTTAACCCTTTTTAATTCTCTGGAATGTACAACAGCAAGAACCCAGCAGAAGACATTATTAGTCAAAAAGATAGCATCTAATAAATGGATTTGCTTTAAAAGCCTGAGAGTCAAGAGTCTTACTTCAAACACATCATAGTGTGGGTTCAGAGAATGCGTAGAAGCCCTCTCCCTTCCTGGGAGAGTTAAACTCTCTTATTTTGCTCCCTTAGAGTTAAACTCTTCTATTTTGTGCCTATTTTGTTGCCCACAGAGGCAAGATTCCATGGAAAATCTAAGACTGACTAAAAGCTGTGAGTGATTCAAGAGGTGCTTGCATTTATTAAATATTTGGAATAGTAATAGCATTCAGTAAGGGCCTGTGATATTCCAGCCATTGGCAAGTCATCAATGAATAAAAGAAAACAGGCTGTGCATTTGTGATTCTTAAGCCAAGTGGCAGACATTCCATGAAAACAAACATTTATAGTGTAACATGACATCCTGTAATAGAGACATGTACCTGAGTTACGGGAACTTAAAACAGCAACAACTAATTCATCTTGGGAGTCATGAAAGTTTGAACTTAATCATGAAGAATGAGGAGGAGATATATACCTGGTAGAAAGGAAGTCACTCTAGGCAGAGGATTTAACACATAAATACACATGGAGAAATGAAAGAGTGTGGCACGTGTAAGAAATTGCTAGTGTCTTCATGGAAGAAAGCAGAGTGTCACGGGGGAAGTGGTGGGTGCTCAAGGAAGGTGAGAAACTTCTTAAGAAGAAACTTGCTGAAGGGTTTGGGATTTATCCTATAGGCAAGAGTTGACCACTAAAGAGTTTTTAAATAAGACATGATATAACAAATTTGCATATTGAGAAAAAAAGAGTTGGTCTATTGGCAGTGAAAAAGAGATTTCCTGCTGTTTTCAGTAAAAGGGCAGAGACCAAAGTGGTAAGAGACCACTTTGTGATACGTGATGAAATCGCAGCAATCATGAGGTTGTCTTCCAAGAACTTTTAATTTAGTCAAAATTCTAGAGATAAACACAAAATACTTTGCAATAACTTTGGAAAGGGAAAGAAGAATAAAATGAAAAGTAAAAGTAGTGCTTCAGTAAACCTTGTGCCAGGAGACCTGCATGTCACGGACACGTAGGACTTGATAAGGCTAAAGCCTAACTCAGATTCATCTCAACGAGTTTCCCTTACCATAGATGTGAAGGTGATCTCTTTACCTCCCAGAAGTCCCCTTACGCATCTAAGGCAAATTGTTCCACTACCTTCCTGGGCTCTGTTTATAGGGAATCAAAAGGGGTGTNGACGACGGCCCGGAGCGCGGGAGGCGCGGCGACCAGGCCCGCCCCTCGCAGCCTCGCCTCGCCCAGTGCGCCCAGTCTTCCCCTCGCTCGCTTTGCCGGCGTCTCAAGTCTCGGCCCCTTCCCCCAACTCGCCGCTTTGTCGCACGCTGGCGCGAGGGAGGACTCGCTGCAGCACCTGGAACCCGCGCCTCGGCAGGGATCAACCTTCTAGAGCTAGCTGGGAGGCTCTTGACTGGACCTTCACATCTTTACCGGCGCCCCCAGAAGTGGTTCCTGGTCCTTCAAGACAGTGCCGTCTAGGGAATGCACTTTGCGCAGACAGGGAAACCGAGGTACCCAGCGATCTCTAACGGAGACACTCCGATCACATTGCATGACCAGCTAGGAGCTGCAAGCTCTGCCTCTAACGCGGAGGACCTTCTGGTCCTCCTCGACAGGAAGCAATATTTGCATATTTAAAGGAAACAAGACGCTGCAGTGCGATCCGTGAGCGAGTGTAGGTAAGGAATGGTCTAGGCTGGACGCGTACGCTCAGAGGCGGCTCTGGTTCCCTGCAGGATCGTGTGAGAAGGTCCCCACAGGGCCTCAGCTTCCCACAGTCTGCTTGGCAGGGGGACTCCTAATTCTAGTGGGATTTGGGGCCCAGACCCAAGTTACAAGCTTTTTTTATGCGACCCACCCCCATAAGGGAAAACTGAGGTCATTACTATGATGGTTTCTGGCATTTTCTACTATCCAGATGTGGTCAAGAAGAGATAAGAGCCAAGTTCCACAGCACAAGAAATCCAAGGGCACAAGCAAATGAACTTGTTTCATCCTCTGCAGCTGATGAGGATGGTCCCTTGTGTGCAACGCTTGGCACGGGTCTGATAAACTCACTCCTTTCCATCAAGTCCTTGGATGGCTCCCCATTGCCTCCAAGGTAAAGCACTTCTGTTCACTGGCTGGTTCACTCAGTAAATACTTACTGAGTACCTCCTGTGCTTCAGGTACTGTGCTCGGGGTGTGATGATGAACAGATCTGGCCTGCAAGTAGCTCTCAATCTAATGGAGAGCACAGCTGAGTAAACATTTTCAACACAGTGTCTCCTGTGCTCCAAGGGAGAGCATGAGGTGATAGGGGAGCACGGCAGTGACATTCGACTCCCACCTGGGGGCATCAAGGAAGGCTTCTCTGAGGAGGTGGCATCTTAGGCAAGACCCAAAGTACCATTTGAGTCTGCCAAACGGAAAATAGATGGAAGGGAGGGGGCAGGCAGCATTCCAGGCAGAAGGAACGATAAGTACGAAGTCAAGGAATCAAGAGAGCATGGCAGTTACATGGGCTGTAAGGAGTTTAAGATGAGTATCTAAAAATGGGGTTCAATGGTTGATCAAGAACTGGATCTTAAAGGGCCTTTAATTCCATGCTTATGCACACATTTGGATGTATGCTAAGGACAATGAAAAGCCATTGAGTGCAGATTCTGGGGTTGGACTAGCCAAGTAAAAATTTCAGCTCACTACTTACTAGCTCTGTGACCTTATGAAAAGTATTTAATCTCTCTGAGCTCAGTTTCCTTGCCTGTGAAATGGTGATAATAAAAATACCTGCCTAATAAGAATGTTGTAAGGATAAAATGCCTGGACCTGGTAAGTCCACAATAGTTTTATTGGAGTGCTGGAAACTTGAGAGGTGTTTTTAGTTTTCTATCACTGTGTAGCAAATTACCACAAACTTAGTGGCTTAACACAACACTCATATATTACTTCACTGTTCTGGTCTGCAGTCCAGCTTCGTGTGGCTGCTGGGTGTTCTGCACAGGGTGTCCCAGGCCAAAGGCAAGGTGTTGGCTGGTTTGAGTTCTCATCTGAAGGTTCGGGGGGGAGGGGAGTCTACCTCCATACCCATTCAGGTTGTTTGCAGCATTCAGTTCCTTTCAGTTGTAGGTCTGAGGTCTCTATTCTCTTGTTGGCTGTCAGCCAGGGCCACTCTCAGCTCCTAGAGCCCTCTCCCAGGTCCTTTCCATGGGAAACCCCCTGCCCTTATTTTAAAGCCAGCAACAGCATGTCAAATCCATCTAGTCCTTCCTTGCTTCTAATCTCTCTACCTTCCTCTTCTGCTTTCCAGCTGGAGAAAATACCCTGCATTTAAAGTACTTGCTTGTGTAGGCAGACCCTCCAGAGTAATTTCTGTCTTAAGGCAGACTGATGAGTAACCTTAACTACAGCTGCAAAATCCCTTTTGCTGCGTATTATAACGTAATCACCAGAGTAACACCAGGGAGATGGACATCATGGGGCCCTCTTAGAATTCTGCCTATCATAGTGAGTAGTAACAGATCAGTCTGTTTGCATTGGGGACGATGAGTGGGATGTGGAGAAAGAGGCAGGAAGGCCCTTTAAAAGACTGTCACATTTATTGAAGAAAGAGATGGTGACCTGTACTGAGAGTAGTGGTGGTGAGAAGATGGGACAAAATCGAGAGCTATCAAGGAGGTGGCAGAGGCAAGACTTGGTGATGAACTGACGGGGGATTTCCTTATCCTTAGAGTGGTGTCAAAGGTCCTTATTTCTGGCCCAGCCCCCTCTCCAGCTCCTCCTTCAGATGCTTGGCTATTATCCCTTCCTACTTTCCCTGTCACACATAATTGTTACAGATTCGTAATCCGCTGCCATCCACTTCTGGTGTTTTAAGCTCCACAAGAGGAGGGATCATACCTGTTTTGCTCACTTTTGAAGCCTCTGCCTTTAGCACAATACCTGGCACATTCTAGGTTTTCTTAGAATCTGTTGAGTAAATAAATAAATTAGTGAAGGAATCCTACATTCTAGCAAGTCAACACCTCACTCATCCGGAACAGCTCCTACATCTTGATGCGTGCATACTTTTGTATGCACTGCCTGCTATTTGGGATCCCTCTTAAACAGCTGGGGAACTCCTACCCATCCTTCAGAAGCTCAGTTGAAAGATCACTTGCTCTGGGAGTCCTTTCTATACTCCTCCAGGAAGAACTGGTTCTTTGCTCTTCTCTGCCTCTACTTATGCAGAGGTTACCTTGTGTCGTGATGCATTCCTTATATCTGTTTATCCCATGAACTCAGAGCTTTTCAAGAGAGGATGGACTCTGCCTCATTTATATTTCAGTTCTTAGTTCCTAGAGTGCCTGACACATGGTAGGCTCTTGATCTTCCCCTAGGCTCTATGGAACACTAAGATGAATAATGTCTAAGATATTGTGCTACCCTCAAGAGGCAGACAGCTATGTGGAATCCTTGCTGTAGTAATGATATATATGAAATTCCTGCTGGACTAATTAAAGAATAGAATGACTGATGGGTCCTGGGAAGGTTGAAGAAGGAGGAATATCAACAAATGGAGAGGAGGAGTTGAGGGCATCCTTGATGGGAGAAATGACGTGAATTAAAATGTTAAGATGAGTATGCACATGGTCACATCTCAGTGTTGCAGAGTACAGGTTCTAGGTCTCCCTGCCTAAATGTGAATACCAGCTATAAGCTTTCTAAGCCTCAATTTTCTTATCAGGAAAAGAGGATAATACTAGAACTTTCCTTACAGAGTTTCCATTACCTGAAATAAAACAATGTACAATATATAAAAGATCTAGCACAGTGTCTGACACATAACAGATGTTCAATAAAACATAGCTAGCATGATCCACAAATTTTATTGAATATCTTTTCCATGCTATGTCCTGAGCTAGGTGTTAAGGATACATCAGTGGATGAGAGAGACATGGTCCCTACCCATGCAGAGATCACAGCCAGGACTAGTTTGGGTTAGAGATTTATTTGTTAGATTAGGCTAGGCTGTAGTAACAAACTGAGCCAATTGTGTATAATGGCTCAAACATAACAAAAGTTTATTTTTCATTCACATAATAGTCAGAAGCAGATGTCTTGGTTGGTAAGTGGCTTTACTGCCGACAATGATACAGGAGCCCTGGTTCTTTCCATCTTGTGGCTCCAAAACCCCCTAAACTTCATCATTATGTACATTTAATTAGAGGAAGAGGAGAGGGTATGTGGAGGGGCCACACCCTCTGCTGCAAGTTCTTGGCCTGGAAATGGAGCACATCACTTCTGCTCACAGCCCACTGGCTAGAACCCAGTCATCTGGCCACTCGTAATGACAAAGGAAGCTGGGAAATGTGGGGTGTCTCAGAAGAAGAGGAAGTGGGTTTTTATGAACAGCTAGCTGTCTGCCACAAGAATCTTTATTTTTTAAAATGAGATGAGGCAGAGAGAAGTTCCCAAAGTCTAGGAATTGCAAACTAGTGGCCCACAGGCCAAACCCAGCTGCCTTAGACAGGGCATACCCTTGACCCTCTTTGTGTTTCATATCTGACCCAATTCAGGTGCATTCACAACTCACCTGAGCCCTGTAGTCATTTGAGTTGCAACTCCTGCTTCCACACATCCTCTCAGGATTATGTCATTCACTCCCAGGGACATAACACTATTGCTATGCCATGGCTCTCCAATCTCAGTGTCCCTTTCAGAGTTCTCTCTTGATCTGCAAATATGCATAACCAACAGCTCGCTGCATAGCTTCACTTGGTGTCCACCAAACACCCCAAACTTCTCTCAAAAAGATAAAGCTGAACCCATCATCTTTCCTCCCAAGCCTGTTCTGCCTCGTATAACATCCGTCTCAGAGAGTGGCCCTGCTACTCACCAAGTGAGATCAGAAACCTGAGGGTCACCCTTGTTTCCTCACCAGCTACCTCCTTTCTCACAGTATATTCATGTTCTGTGAGGGCAGGGGTTTAGTCTGTTTTGTTTTCTGTTTAATTTCCAGTACCTAGGACATCAACTAGCACATAGTAGGCATTTAGTATTTGTGGAGTGAATGAATGATTAAATGAGTGAATGAATTGTCTTAGCTCAGACCCTCATTATTTCTCACCTGGATCCTGTACTGTCCTTCAAACTAGTCTCCTTGCCTCTCTTTGGTCCTGCCTTTCTCCCGTAGTCCCTGCTGACATACATTTGATGACTCTCCATTATCTTCACAATCAAGTCCGAGTCCTCACCAGGGCCTAAAATGCCCCTCGGGATCTGATGTCCACTTTACTCTCAGCCTGTACGCTCCAGCTGCACCCTCACTCACAGTGATCCCTCTGACCCCCTGGCTAATTCCTACCTACAGTCCAAGGTGCAGCTTAACTGTCACTTTCTCCTAAAAGTCTTCCCTGCCAGCAGCATCCTCTCCAGGAGATACTCCAAACAAAACTGTATTTTAGGAAGATTAATCTCCATGAATCGGTGGGATGAATTGAAGTTATGATACACTCGTAT